AGGTTTGTCCAGGGCTGTGCCAGGCTGCCCAGGGCAGTGGTGGAGTCCCCATCCCTGGAGGGGTTTCAAAGCCATGGAGATGTGGTGCTGAGGGTTTGGTGGTAACCTGACAGTGTTGGGTTAATGGTTGGACTTGAAGATTTTGAAGTTCTCTTCCAACCCAAATGGTTCTGTGTGCTAACACCACAGCAGCCAAGGCTGAGCGGGAAGCTGGGGCAGGCAGGGTCATCTTGCTCTTGACGTGGCTGAGTTACCAATCCTCACCTTTCTGATTCCCCTGCTGAGAAATACCATCACACCCTCCCACTCCACCTTGCTTCCCAAGGTCACCTGGCTTAGAAGCCTGTAAGGTCACTGGTACCTGACACAGGAGATGTCCAAGCAGAGGGCAATGCCACGTCGTGCTGCTTGGGAGCTGGCCACTACTCCAGACTTGCAATGCAGCAGCTTTAAGCTACTGGTTTTCTGTCTCTGGTCTCCACCATCAGCCACGTTTTCTGGGCAGGACATCAAAAAGGCAGCTGGAAAAATGATCTCGATGGCTCCAATCCCAAGCTCCTCAATTTAAATTTGAAGACAGCCAATCATTGCAATAAACAAAACAGCTTTTACACTTTCACACAAGCTATTATTAAACAGATCATATACAATGGGAGAGCAAAGTGCACTCACATTACCCAACTGCTATGACTATTTTTTGCCACCTGCCAGTATGAAGCTCTCCAAGTCAAACAAATAATTCACTGAATTAGTCCACACAGTTTCTCACCTAATTAAGGCTCACAATTATTTAAGCCTCCCTTTGTTTGACACTGGAAGTGACTGAACTGGAGTCGCTCAGGAAAAGAAGAAGAAATATTGTAGATAAATTCATTTTAACAAAGTCATATTGCTTGTTAAACAAAAAAACTAAAAAAACTTTTCTTTTTAATTACCTGTTGTAACCTGAGGCTTTATGAGGCAGGAATTAAGATTAAGCTGGTTATTAAGTCACAAAAGTGAGCAACAGAAGGTAATAGCCAGGACTCCAGACATGCAGAGCTGAGAGTCTCAACTACATCCTCTCGTGTCAGCTACTCTAAAGAAAAGATTCATTATTAAGTTTGGGGTTTTTAATCCCTACCTGCTCCAGAGCAGAACATCTCCTCTGCCAATTAAGCCAGGGCTACATCCAGACAGTTTTAATTCCAGGGGATGGAAAGAGGATTACTTTAGCACAACTGTGATCTTCTTTTAATAACTAACAGATCAAGCACAGCAGAGCCACCTTCTGATTTGGAAGGAGACAAGGGAAAGGAAAAAAAACCTCCAGGAAAGATAACATTTTGTCTTCCTGCCTGCACTAAGGCTGTTCTTTGGCTACTCCCCACCTTGTTCTCAGCTGGGGAGTCTTCTGCTGTAGACCCAGGGATGTTGCCCCTACTTAGTGACCTTCTGACATGAAGCAGCAACCCAAGTTGTCTTTCCCCTTGCGTTGACAAGGTCTCACAGGCACAGGGTGGCTGATGAGTGAGCAGGCTGAGAATGTGCTCCCAGTTCTGGCTTTGGGATGCTGGGCCACAAGGACAGCCTACACCCTCCAAAGGATTTGCAAGGCAGGAAGGAAATAAAATGGGATGGACTATTTTTCTCTAATGTAACCCTTGTTAGTCGATCTGCAGCTGGTAGTTAAGTGTTTCCTTTTCCTCCCTAAATATAGATGAAACACTCAGCATGGAACAACTTCAATGCCCTTCACCCAACCTCTTGAGCCTTCTGCAAGCACAGCCAAGACACACGTGAAGCCTCCACGGCCCACCTGAGCCCCCATGGTACAGAGCTTGCTGGAAAATGCAGTGGGAAGGAAAAGGCTGATTCCCTTTTGCTGGCAAGATTTCCTGGTTGATGGAGAGCGATGGGCACCTTTGACCAGGCTGCTATCTCCTCCCAGGTCATCTCAGTTCAACCTACCCATGACACCTGCCTGGGAGGTACCCTGGGTACCCTCAACACTGCATTTTGGTTATGGGAAATCAAACAACTACAGGGATCTTCCTAAAAGCACCTGCCTTGGGTTATTTTGTGGATGTCAGACTCAACCTGCCACATTGGAGAACCCAATGCTAACCAAGACCACATCCCCCAGGGAAATATCCCAGCTGGTGAGCCAAGGGAGGGCTGGGGCACATGGCTGCATCCACACCATGAGGGAATGTCTGCATCCAGGGGCATGGACTCAGATCTGCCTGGGCAAGCCAGGCATGGCCATTTCTTAAGGCAAAGAAGGATGCTGACAGCCACTTTCCTGACCTCACCAGCCATTCATCTCACCCTGTCACCTGAGACCTCCAAAGAGGGCAAAAAGAGCTGGGATTTCAGGGCTACTCCCTGTGCTAAGCAAGGCTAATTAGCAGGGAAATCAATCCCAGTGTCCAGGGAAGGGGCAGGGATGGTCACAGATTCCAAGCTCTTTGAGGTCAGTGGGACATCTCTCACTTCCCAAGACCCACTGAGTCCCAAGAGCTTTCACAAGCACCTCACCTGTAACTGCAGGGACACTTGGACACCAGGTCCACAGGGAAAAAAAGAATAGGAGGGTGTCAAGACTTGAAAGCCTAATGGTAGATTTTTTAAGACACTGAGGTACTCCCCCAAAATGCAACAGCTCTTATCTCTGTATTGCCTCTTGATTTCCTGAGGAAAGAAAACACCAGGCATGCAAACTGCAGTTTCTTCTACCCCAAAACTCTTTTTCTACCTAAATCCTGGGCCTTAAGAGCTTAAATCCTGAATTATTATTCATCAAGGAAGCAGATGCCCATCAATGATTGCCCATAAATCAAGGAGCAGAGGCTATAAACAAGCTGCATTCTCTCTGACACCTCCAGACTCTTTCACACAGGCTGGAATTTCAATGCTGGCATCTCAAATTATCCATATGAGCATTATTTGAACACCTCAAAACTCAGACCTAGCAGGAAACAGGGAAATAAATCACACTGCCTAATGATTTTTATTACCTTCTTCCTGCAACTGCTTAACTTTTTTAAAGGCACCTTTGATTTTGCAATTACTCACTGCAGTTTAATTGCTCCCAGAGCACAGGTTTTCTGCAAATAATACACACTGACAAATTTTATTCTCCACTGGAGCCTGAAATTCAGAATTAAACGTAATAGAAATAAATTTAGGTTTTATTAGTTATTTTAGTACTGAGTCTAGGCTGTCTCCAAAAGATGTCCTCTCCTAATGGCTTTGGAAAGCAAAGGAGCTGTTGAATTCCTCCTGGGCCAGGATCAATCTATTCTTGCTACTAATGGTGTTACTTAAATTACGTGTCAATAAGTTTGGTGGCAATCTGGTTCCTTTCTTCCCCTGGGCCCTTCGCCTTAGAAGGGGAAAAAGAGTATTTTGCATTCAAGGATTTGCTCAGGCACAGTTGCCAGGGGCAACCACCAAGCCCCAGACTGTAAATAAAGCAACTTGAGGGTGAATTCAACCCAAACTAACACCAAGGATTCTGGTTCTCTCCCTTCACCACCGTTGGGATAAAACAGCAAAGAGCAGAAGTCAGCAACAGTTGTGGAACTGCACCAAAGTTTTCAACAGTGAGACTCATTGTAGGCAAACACTGACCTAAAATACTTTGGATCTTTTGGAAGGGGTGATTTTAACCTGTTATTCCCCACAAGGGAAACCCTTGCTCAAAGCAGCTGCCATTGAAGTGAGAGACACGAGAGCGTTTGGGACTCCTGCAAACACACACAAAGAACATGCCAAGAGTAACTAAAACCATCACAATTAGCAGAAGAAGTAGCTGCTCCCTCAGCTGCCTAGCTAGCACATTATTATCCAGTTCTATTATCTTTCTAGTAAGTTTTTCCAGAGCTCAGAAATGTTGATATTTTGATATTTTGCAGATCTTGTATCCTTTTAAAAAAAAAAGATTTAATTTGATTTCTGATACTTCAGTTGAATTTCAGATTGCATTGATGCTATTTACAAAGGGACCCAAGTTTCAAAGAAACCATTTTACACCCACACAGGCTGCTGAGACATCCTTGGCCTTGTGAAGCACTCCAGTAGCAGAAGAGATGCTGGGCTGGTGTCAGAAGGCAGCACCACTACCTGCTCTAATGCCTCTAATTGTTCTAGGTGCTTCATTTGTCCTGCAAAACAGTTTTGGAGAAAGGCAGCTCTGGTTTCAAAAGGAAATCATCCTCTGTGGACATTCACATCATGTCTTCTGCCAAAATTATTTCTTCAAAGGAAGAAAAAGACATTATTTCAACTCTGGTTGAAAGGAAGGAGAACTACACTTCTGACAGATACCACGAACATCCAGGAGAGAAGGAACACAGCCCTGACCTACATTCTGGTGTAGGTTCCTCACTGAGCTGCATAGATCACTGAAAACCATCATGAAAACATAGAAACAAGACAGAACCAGCTGACCCACATCCACAAGATTTGTTCTTGCCTTTCAAAAAATGCAAAGTGAGTGTGGCAGAGCACACAAGATACAACACCAAGCTCCTCCTGGAGCTGTCAAATGCTTCTTGCCTGGAATGTCCCAGCAGTGCTGTGAGTTATCACATGAAATTATAGATTGCTTTGATTGGAAGAGACCTTTCAGATCATCAAGTCAAACTGTCCTTCCAGCACCACCAGGTCACCAGTGACCCATGTCCCTCAGCCCCACATCTCCATGGCTTGGAAAACCCTCCAGGGATGGGGACTCCACCACTGCTCTGGACAGCCTGGGACAAGCCTGGGCAATCCTTTTGGGGAAGACATTTTTTCTAACATCCAACCTAAACCTCCCCTGGAACAACTTGAGGCCATTTCCTCTTGTCCTATCACAACCAGCTGCTACCCCTTTTCTGATAGAGATACTCTGCATTTTTTTTTCCCCCCCTAAGAAGTGTCCAGCTCATTCCAGAGAGGAAATGCGTTGGAAGAAGGCAACTGTGCAACACCAAGAAGAAGACAGCAGGTGCCAGACCCTGGCACAGCCTCACCTTTTTGTGAGCTATCAGCAGGCAGTTGGAATGCTCGTGCTCGCAGGCGATCTCGTAGTCGGGGAGGAGGTGGGCCAGCTCCTGGACAAAGTGGACCACCTCCTCGTGCCAGGGGACGTTGGCCATGGTGAGGCTGCTGGCTGAGCTCTCCCCGCAGTACGTCACACCCTGAGAAGAAACACAGAGACAGTCACTGTCAGCTGGACCCTTCACAAGCTCGGGGCAGCGCCCCACAGCAACCCCTGGAACGAGTCTGGTTTGTACCCCCTTACAGCATCACAGGCAGTCTTGGGTGGGAAGGGACCTTTAAAGGTCATCCAGTCCAACCCCCCTGCAGGGAGCAGGGACATCTGCAGCTAGAGCAGGGTGCTCAGAGCCTTGTCCAACCTCACCTGGAATGGTTCTAGGGATGGGGCAGTGACCACCTCTCTGGGCAGCCTGGGCCAGGGGCTCACCACCTCACACTGTATCTTATGGAAAGGTGGAAAATTTGGAACTGGCATCAAAACCTGGTCTCTCCCCCAGTGATGCACCACCAAGCCACTGTCTGGGGAGGCCTGTGCCCACGTGTCCCCAGCCATAAAACACAGGTTAGTCTTTATCTTGGAAAGTAGATTTAAAAGCATTCAAATGGAAGATGCTCATGCTCCTGTGCTACCAAGAGACCTTCTCAAAGGTCACGTGGTGTTGCAATGTGACATGCCTGGAAGAAAGCCTCACAAACAACCAAAACAACACATTGATATGACACTTCTAGAGATAACTATCCTACATCCCACAGAAGTAAGGACTTCCCCCCTTCTGCCACTGTCCTCTAGCACCCACACCTCTCATACCAGCCACATGTAAAGCCATCCTCCCCGACTGTGCCCAGGGAAGCTCCTCCAGCTGTACAGTGCTGGCTCTCCTTGCTTCCAGCTGTTCACCTTCATGACAAGAGAACTAAAATTGCTCATTTTAGCTGTGGACAATTGCTGCAACTGCCCCAGAACAAGGCCATTTTGGCAATCAAGATGAAAAGACAGTCCCTGCACTCCAAAATCCCTTTTCTGGCTTCTCCATGGTGCTCAGGCAATGAGACCCAGGTCACCGTGACCCAGGGCTCTGTGAATATCAGCATTGGAGACTGAGTACAACAGCTTTCTGCACATGATTGTCTGGATCTTGAGATCTCAAGGTTCTTCTCAACTACTGGTCATTTTATAGAAAAACTAAGATACTCCCACTTTTGGTGTAAGAAATGGGGATCTGTAGAGCATTACGTTTCCATGTGCAGCGTGTCCATGTGTAGATGGGTTGGGCAGAGGTGCCCAGACCAAGCACTGGCAGAGCTGTGGCTCATCAGGAGAAAGGTGCAGATGCAGATGCTGGCAGGGTAGCAACAGCCTGAGCCCAGAGGAACAGCAGATTTCTTTTAAACACTTTTTCTTCCAAAGAACAGCAGATGGAGGGGAATATCCTCAAGCGTGCAGATCATCCTTCTCTTCTGTGCATGCACAAAGTGTCTGATTCTTGAAAGCACAGAGTAAAAATGACTACAAAGAACTGAGATGGTGTAAAAGTGGAACAAAGCACGGGAAGTCTGTGAGCCCTGAGGTCTTCTGAATACAAGTGCTAATTTTAGGCTCAAACCAGAGGGATGGAACTGGGCTTTAAAGATGGAGAAATGGTGAATTTGCATGGTCCAGTGCCACATCATCCATTCCCTTCCCTGAGACCTCTGCTAAACCAGAAGCATCTTCCCTGGGGGCAAAAGCACAGCTCCCCCAGAGAAAACAGGGCTTTGCTTCTGCCTCCCACCTCATCTAAGTTGTTTTCCTGCAGCAGCCCAGCACCTAATTATCCTTAATGAAGCCAGCAAGTCAACACCCTCCTGGAAGGACATGCTCTTCCCCTCTCTTTACAACCTGGAAAAGAGAGACAATGATTTGCACGGGGCTCTTGGAAGCAAAACTAACACCAGCACAGTACAGCCAGTGCAAACACAGTCAGTGAGCACACAGATTATTTTTCAGGGCCGAGCACATGAGCAAACACCCAAAACCATCAAGGCATTTGTAAAAACACCCTCCAGCTCATCTCACTCTTCCTATCTTTTGCTGAAAGTGAAGCAGCAGACAGTGAGGACCTTTTGGGAGAAAGTCCACCTCTGCCTGAGCCTCCTGCACGTGCCCAGGGAGGGTGAAGATCCAGCCTTAAGCTGGTGCTGTGGGGAAACTGATGGTTTGAGTGGGATTGACTTGCTGACATTAAAAAGCAGCTTGTGTTGTTTTGGTCAAAGGCCACCAGAACAAGTGAGGAATCTCTGTCCTCCTACCCCTGCAGAAGGAGCCCATGCTGCCCTGTGAAACACAGTGAGCTGAAGCAGTCACCCCAGAGGGAAAGGCCCCAGGAAGCCTCAAGGGGCTTCCAGCAAGATTGATTTGGAGTGATTGTGGATCTCCAACCCAACACCAGCTGCCAGCCAAAGGGCCAGCACCGTCGTTCATGAGCTCTCCTGACTTGGCAGAAGTAAGGTCACAGTGCTGGCATGTTGCATCTGCTCCCCAAAAAAGCCATTTTTTTGGGAAGTACCCAGCACGTGCAGGCTGATATGACAAGCAGCTTGTGAGGAGCAGCTGAGGGAGCTGGGGGTGCTGAGCCTGGAGCAAAGGAGGCTCAGGGGAGACCTTCTGGCTCTGCACAGCTCCTGAAAGGAGCCTGGAGCCAGTGGGGGGTTGGGCTCTGCTCCCACGGAACAAACCATTGGACAAGATAAAGCAGCTTCAAATTGTGTCAGGGCAGATTATGTTGGACATTAGGGAAAACATCTTCCCCTTGAGGGTTGTTCCGGGCTGTGCCAGACTGCCCAGGGCAGTGGTGGAGTCCCCATCCCTGGAGGGGTTTCCAAGCCGTGGAGATGTGGTGCTGAGGGACACGGGTCAGTGGTGACCTGGCAGTGCTGGGGCAATGGCTGGACTTGAGGATCTTACAGGTCTCTTCCAACTTAATTCTATGATTCTATTCTATGACCCTTTGGGCAGAGCACAGAGAAGCTTCCCACTGCACATCAGTCTGCAAAGCTCTGTAGGTCACTAGTGTGAAGACACAGGAGTATGAGTCTTTGGGGAAAGTGCTCTTCTGATCACTTTCTGGAAGCACACTCAAAACTATTGGCTAATTTAGAAGTGGCATGGTTCAAAAGACACCTTCATCTCAGATTTAACTGCATTAAGTCAGCAGAGGTACTGGGTTCTTGCTCCAGCTCCTCTTCCAACCACCCAATAGAGTAAATGGACTGAAGCAGTGCAACCCCCCAAGTTCTCCTACATCCCACTCCACCCAACTTCAGCCTCATCCTTTTGAGAAATCTCAGAATGTAGATTTGATCACATGAACCCCCTAAACTAGTGATTCACTCTTAGCCATCATCTCAAATTCACTACTGCCTTGCTCAATCTTTAATTATGTTGGAAGAATTCTCATAAATTAGCTCAGCAGTATGTGGCTTGCTGAGATATATTGTTTCCTTCTTTCTTTCTGGATAAAACTAATTAAAGGATCATTGAACTGATTTAACCTGTGGTTTCACAACACAGGTCCCAAACCCACCAGCACCCAGAAAGGGAAGCTCACACAAGAAGCACCTTTTCTTTTTGAGCCCAAAGCCCATCTCCTCTGCACCTCTCTGGGTGGTTTCATCACCTTTGCTCTTGGGCTGAGCTGTTTTATTCCAGTCACAAAACCCCATCAAGCACCGGTCTCCAAAACAAAGCACACAATTTTCTGGATGATTATGTTTTGCATTCAAACATTTTTCCTCTGTGAAGAACATTTCTACTACTCTTAAGTGGCATTTGCATCCACGCTATGTTTATGGCACCTGGCCCCAGCTGATGCTGCACTCCTAAGACCTAATTTACCTCCACTGAAGTTGAACATGTCATGTCCAGCAATAAACAGAGACAGATCCTTTGCAAACACTTAAAATTATAGCAAGGTGAACCACACAGTGCTTGAATCGGGCTACAAAAGAAACAGGACTCCTGCTAATTAGAAACTGTGCAAGTTTTGGAGGCAATTACTTTCTAGCTGGTGAATTTATGAGGGACCTCCTCTATTAATCTGCCCGAGCAAAGGATATTAGAACTGCACACCATAACTCAGAGCCTGTGTGGAAGCAGGTTGACTGTGCACGACCACAGACAAGTCAGGGGAGTGCCAAACAGGGGAGTACATTAATTTTTTAGCCCGGCCATTAAAGTCTGAAAAAAGATTTTAAATGTTTTTGGATTAGAGCAGCCAGCCACGCAAATAACAGCATATGTATCTCCCAAGTTCAGCTCTATAGATGCAGCTGCATACAGCAATATTTTCCCCGTGCTCATTATACAGATTATGATTTGAGCATCATGAAAAATGTATGACTATAGGGGGGGGAAATTCTTAGGAAGCTCCAACATGACTCATTCTTCTAATAAACTTCAAAGATATCACTTACAAGCGAAGAAAGCGCCGAGGCAAATGGAATAACTAAGTGCTGGGATGGCTGATTAACTCACAAGCACAAATCAATGAAAATCAGCTTAGCAGCACACCCAACGAAAGCACATCAGCTTTCAACTTCCCCAACTTCTTAAAACTTGAGTTAATTAACAGTGCTGATACCACTTAAAAAATGTGAACGGTTGATTAGGGCGGTCATGTTACGTTTTTCAGTAATAGATGAAGACAGTTATTAAGACATCAAGTATTAAGAAAGGAAACCAGCCTATTGTAGACCCTAAGCTCTTGTGCCAGCTTCCCTGCAGCAGCAACATCAATGAGGCTGCCTCTTAATTAATCTTTAATAAGGGTGCTTTTAGCATCCTAATCGTGCCACGTAGCTTTGGCCAAATACCTGGGAACGGAGGAGCCTTTTGAAAAGCATCTCAGCTCTTCTTGGTTCTGCTGGGACAAATCCAGAGTAACCATGGTGGGCATGCTCTGGATTTCTGTGCTGCTGTAACGGAGCTGGATGGGCACAACTGGATTCATGCAACACCTTGTGCCAAGATGATTATTGGTGCAGCAAGAAGCACATTTCTCCCACTGCAATCTGGCTCCTTGATGGAGATCTGGACAGCCAGCAATCATTTTAATCCATGGGGCTATGAAGGAAGGATACTGGGGAACTAAATATCACAGGG